TCGTGCCTTTAATCAACGTTTACTGTGAAATCCTCAAAGGAATGTGTTTGTAAATGGACATAAAAGGTGTTAAGCCAAAAAACAAAAATTTGATAAAAATTGCTAAGCAATGAAAAAACTGCAGTTTTCTTCGATTTCATTATTTTGACGAGAGCCTGATTCTACCACGCTGCCTCACATATAATTTAAGCTGCCTGATGCTCCGATCTTGAAGTCAATTTGTGGGAAGTAATAGCTTTTTTTTTTTTTACCTCTATGCTGTAACATGCAAGTCTTGTGTTGAGTCATATGTAATGTAATCCTACTGCTGCTGTATTCTTGTAGTGGTAATGTTGATGACAAAGCACAGCCATAGCTGGTTAAGGAAAGCGGAATTACGTCTGTGTGTGTTACTTGAGGGAGGCATTGCGCTGCCAAGCGCGAAATGCTCGCAGCTAAAGGGATTTGAAAACAACAACAACAACAACAACAACAACGTCTGTGTGTTTCGTTGTTTTGTTTTGGGGTTTTTTTTCACTTGGTCAAGGGGATGACAGTTTCTACTGTTGTATTCATTTGTGCATGACAGTGACAGTGTTGATAATGAAGAAAGACCTTCACTGATTATGAAGAGGAGTTTGGTGGGGGGAGGTCAGCTTGCAGGGGACAGCCATTCAACCACCTGTGTATAAAAAGAGGACCCCAGTACGTTGGTATCTTCAGTGATTATCTTTGTGTTTTTGTTTCACCTTGCGTGTTTTCGTCACTGGCATGTGGGTGGTTGGAGGGCTCCACAATTACCTTCGACTTTTTTGCTTCTCTGTTGTTTTTCTCCATCTTTCTTTCTGTTTCTCTGGGCTAAATGACCATCATTGTGTCATTTTGCTTCCCATCACTCTCACTGAAAACTCCTGTATACCTTTTGTCATTTTCATTCTTACTGAGACCTTAAGTTTCAGAGATGTATTCGATGTCAGTGGGTGGTTGGCGGGTGCTCTGGTGTGGTTTGCTCCTTCTTTCCTATCAAACACCTATCATCCTTATCTACCCTCCTTCTTTTTTATGTTTGTTACTCGCTTGTAACACCTCTAATCTTCTGGCGCTCATATGACCTTATTGTGTTGCAAGTGCCGTAAAACTCTTACTAAAACTAAAACTAAACTAAGTTTCAGAGATGTATTCGATGTCAGTTCATTTCCCCTTACTCAAAACGAACCCTAAAAAATAAAAACCATCATCGCTTTAGGGAAGGTGCAGAGAGAGAAACGGCGAGCGATGGAAGCCCCCGTAGAGCTGAAGTCTGGCCAACGTCGCTGTCGCAAGGCCAAGGAGTCTGCTCTCTCCGCGGCCATGGAGCTCAAAGAGAAGAGATCTCTCATGCAGGTAGTGACATATAAGTCTGCTGTCCATCAGTGTTGTTGTTTTACTTAAATTTCTGACGTTTGGGGATAGGAATCGTATTTTGTTTACTGCTGGTGGTTAGTGAGGGTTGTTAAATGATAATATGCTTTGTTCCCCTCTTCCCCCCGGCGGACTGGAGTGTCTTTAGGCCATTCCCAAAGGGAGGACATATCTCATTCAAGCACAGTAGAATTGTAAATGGGCTGATCCAAGAATGTCACGCTCATAACTGTGGCTGAACTACAACAGGGAACTGCAGCTTTTTCTTTCCTAATCCTTACTATAGTCATTTTCCTCTACTTCTTTTGTATATTTGTCACACTCTTGTGACCTGCTATTTTGGGGTGCCTTGATAGTTGAAGCAGACTTTGTGTTGTTGAAGCTAGAGAGGTGAGCAGAGTAAGTCTTGATTCCCTGTAAGGATTTCTCTGTTGACATCCACCCCTTGGCGCTCATATGACTTATGCGCTTGCAAGCGCCGTAAAACCTCTACTAAAACTTTTTAAAAAACATACTTAGTCTTAGTCTGTTTGCTATCAGTGTTGCGGTTGCCTCGCTCTGTTTCTCGTAAAATGCATCTCGGAAAGTTCTGACTCTCCTTAAAGAACGAATCAACTACAACAGAGGCATTTCTTTTGTTCTTTATTGCTACGTCCCCTCTGTGTTTCTGCAGTCATAATTTGTGGGTGGTTGGTGGGTGCTCTGGTGTGGCTTGCTTCTTCTTTCCTATCAAACATCTATCGCCCTTATCTCCCCTCCTTCTTTTTTTGTGTTTGTTACTCTCTTGTAACGCCTTTAATCTTCTGGCGCTCATATGACCTTATGCAGTTGCGAGCGTAGTAAAACCTCTACTTTAAAAAAAAAAGGCATGATTTGTTCCTAGTTAAATGCATTGATTATCACATAAAGTCAGTAAAGTGTAAGCCCCCGCAACATAATTTCTCATATTCTGTTGCCTTTTGCCGCTGCCAGGAGGGAAAGAAAAAAAGACAACGAGGCCACAAGAAGGAAGACCCGAGCACTCTCTCATCATCTTTCGTCACGGACGACGAGACGGGGCGGGCGAAACCCAAGCCGAGCAAAGGGAAGTCATCCGCCACGTCAAAGTCGGCGGCCTCATCGACGACGGGCCGGAGCTCGGAGTCGCCAGCGCTGGCTTTGTTGGACAGTCAGGACAGCATGAGCTCTGTGTCCTCGTCCTCCGCGGGACTTGTGTCCTCGCTCGGGGAGGAAGCGGATGCTGCGACGTCTGCGTCTGGTGAGATCCTCCTGAACTTAAATGCTCTGTGTTCGCGCCAAGATCATGTTGAGAATTTACTGGGTGGTTGGCGGGTGCTCTGGGGTGGTTTGCTCCTTCTTTTCTTCCAAACGTCTATCGACCTTATCTCTCCTCCTCCTTTTTTTTTGTGTTTGTTACTCTTTTGTAGCACCTCTAATCTTCGGCACTTATATGACTTTATTGTGTTGCAAGTGCCGTAAAACTTTTACTAAAACTAAACTGAGAAGTTACACGATGTAATTCGAACACACGGGGATGAAATAATCAAATTGGTGTTTTAGCATGTGTAATCCGCAGCTTGCGAGGGAAGCAGGGAATGTTTCTGAGTGTTCTTGAAGAGCGTGGATATGCGCTATATAAATGCAATTATTATTATAATCATCATCTTTATTATTATTATTATTATTATTATTATTATTATTATGTAGAGATGTGTGTTTGGGTAGAGTCCAGATGTGTAAAGAGGAATAGCTATGTCATAACCTGTGGAGAGATAGAAGCATATATTGTAATGTACGGATTTACCCCAAGAAGTGAATGGATGGGAACACTTTTACCCTCCGAAATGTTTATTTGATTTTGTCTACTTCTGGTACGCAGGAACAGACTTGGGAGGAATTTTGACGTCGATACAAATGGAGGACGACAGTGACCTTGAGATTGATGTCGACATTGGAGCGGTGTCGTTTGTGTCCGGTGATCTTCCGGATATGCGACCCATGTCTCCTGACATCAGCACCATGCTCAACGTGGGCACAGGTACAGTACCACATACGCGCCTTCATAATCATCATCATTGCCTTTCTCACCCTGGGTCAGGATATAGGCCACGAACAAACACTCTCCACCTTTCCCTATCCTGGGCTAGTCGCTTGATGTCACTCCACGTCTTCCCACTTTTCTGTACATCCATTTCCGTGACTCTTCTCCAGGTTCCACGAGGTCTTCCCCTTGATCTTTTACCCTGTGGGTTCCAATCTAACACTTTTCTTGTTATGCAGCTGCTTGACTTCCTGAGAGTGTGTCCAATCCATCGCCAACGTCTTCTTCCCACCTCATCTCTGACCGGGCTCTGTCTGGTTCTTCTTAATACTTCCTCGTTGGTGATCCTGTCTGTCCATTTGATCCTCAGCAGCCTCCTCAGACACTTGTTCTAGAAAACCTGGATCCTCTTTGCCCTCATAATATCAAGGTCTAAAAATCTGTATAAATTCGCTGCTGAAAAAAGATTTTCTTGACGCCTGCCTTTTCTTAATTCCTTCACTGTCCTGCCTGAAACTTTTGGGTAAGTTCTGTGGTAAAATCATAAACCGAGTCTAACAACGATAGGGGAATGCTTCACTCGTTCGTCTTTATAACAACGAAAGGGTAATGCTTCACTCGTTCGTCTTTATTTATTGCTATACATATACACTTACATGATGTAACGTGCTTTGTTTCCTGTTCTTTATTTCCAGTAATGTACATCTGTGTGATGTAAGTCACCAACAGAACGGGAAGTGTTACATTTGATTGCACGATTCTTTAGTGGTGTGATAACTCGTTCCCTTCACATTTCTTTCATTTGATGAGATCTCCGATGGTTTACGGGGCAAAGCTCTAAATCTGCCATGTCGCTTTTTGTGGTCCATCAGCAGATGTTGATAGATATAATTGTAAATGTTTCTTGCACCTTTTGATGAATTTAAGAGAATATTGGAGGCAGGTTGCTTAGACCCTGCCTGTCAGGGACATCCTGTGTTGAATGATATACAGTATCTCAACACCAGAAGGAGATACTCTATTGTGTAACTTCCCCACTTGGGAATTGAACTCATGCCTTCTCCACCTATCCTTCTATCTCAATATGCGGACCTGCCACTCATCCCGATTTAGTCGGGATATCCCGATTTTTTTTCCCCAAATCTCAAGCATCCCGATTTTCCCGATTTCGATCGCGTGTATCCCGATTTTTTTGTCCCAGTCCGCTGTTATGACGGGTTTTTCTAAAAACTTACTCTGCCTTCTCCTTTATTGCAGGAAGCACCCGTTGAACTTTTTGTCAGTAGGAACTCGGAGCACTATTTCCCGCAATATCAATGCCGCATTTAGTTGTTGACTCGCCCCAAGTTGTGTGTGATCTCTGCCCGCTCTCATTTTCTCCGATGATAGCCTGGTAACTGTTTCAATTTGGGACATACAAATAATCGATAATATTCGTAGTTCCGCTGTTACTTTCAAAACAAGCCTTTCGGGACTTATTGGTAGGGTTGGGAGGGGGGGGGGGGTATAGACACTTGGACTAGGAGTGCTTGACGTGATGCTTCAGGATTTACAAAAAATAATGATAACTCGCACGCACGCTCACACACACACACACATGCACACACGCAAACAAAGACACACAGAGGGCATATAGACTAAGTAATTTATGGACGCCCCTGGAAAAATTTTGAGTCAGCTTTGGCAGTCACCTTGGTGATTTGCTGTTGATCCCGATTTTTTTCACCAAATCCTGATTTTTTCTCCCTGAAATCAAGTGAAATCCTGATTTTGAGATTTCATAAAGTGGCAGGTCCGAATATGCTTTAAATGGAAACTGGAGGTCTAAGTGCACCGATGATGAATGTTGTTAGGTGTAGTTTTTTTGTGCGCAATATGTTCACTTACGATAAAAAGTGAACATAATCTTTTATCTGTTTTGTTCTCAGGGCTGGTACAAGGAGAGATGAACTCTCAGTCTTCCAGCTTGCCGCTGACTCTGGCCGAGGTCAAAGTTGAACTGACGTCGGACTGTGAGTCAGAAGGACAAAGTGAGAGAGACATTGAAGAAAGGTCGATCAAAGAAGAGGAAGCCAGTGAGTCCGAATATTCGTCGGACGAGTCTGAAGAGGATGAGGAGGAGGGAGAGGAGGAGGAGGAGGATAGCGGGAGCCTTGTGAGTGGCAGCAGCAGTCAGGTGACGGAGAGAGAGAAGATGGAGGAGGGGAAGAAGAAAAAGGGTCGTCCGAGGAAAAGACGGAGGGAAGATGACACGCCTCCTCCCAGTCCCCCTGTCAGGTAACAGTTGCCAGTTTGTGCTTTTGTTACAGCAAATGGCGTGATGAACGAAAATTATCAGTTTTAAGTTTGAGTAGATTCTTTGCCATATCGACAGACCGAAGGGCTAGAACCCAAATGGCCGCTGGATCGGAAAAGTAAAATAAAGTAAGTTTGAGTAGAGAAGCACATCGACACAATGACTGTAGTAATATAGTGCAGGGAAAAAGCAAGATAGAAGCAACAGAAGGAAAGAGAAGTAGGACCTGTCAGTGACGCCCTCAAACCAGCCGCAGAAATGGTTATCTGCGAAGGTGGAACTGAAACACAGTTTTTACCTTTTTTGTTAAGGGAGGAGAAATGCAGGCTACTGAACGAAAATTAAAATTTACTTCGAAAGGAAAAATGATTGTCTTTTTTTCCTTCAAAGCTGGTTATATTTCATCCATCGTCCAATGTTGAACTTTTGAGAAGAAAGAGATGGAGATAGATGAGAGCTCCGTTGTTATATGATCACATTATAAGGAACTGAACTGGTAATTTCTTAAGACTGTTAGCGCCATTCGTCCACAATTGCCAAAATAGTTTTTGGGGGGGCTTCCAGTAAAACCCATAATTTGAATAAAGACATCCAGAAACATCTTATAATTCTGTTTCGTTTTGTTTCTTCATTTCTCTTTTAGTTTTTTTTATTGGAAAGTTTCAAGTGCCTAAGTCATGCTTCTGATCTGAGTTCTTCTTTTTGGGGGTTTTTCTCAAAACTTTTAAAAAATGACTCACGCGCTTGTGGAATGGTGGTGACAAGATGTTTTATCTCGCGCAGACTTCAAAGAATCAGCTTGTTTGAGGAGGACGAGCTGCTACAGAAGCTGAACCGCCTGGCCGAGAGAGAGGCGCTGGCTCCGCATATGGCACAGCTCCGCAGGAAACTCATCTGTAACCAGGTCCGGGAAACTTTCTCACTTCACTTTCTGTTCTACGCTCATTCCTCTCGTGTCAGTAAATTTTTAAAACATGACTGGTTTCCTGTGTAAAGAACATGTGCAATGGACTCTTAGAACTAGAGCTGGGCGAAGGACCGATTCCTACGATTAATGCTATGGAAGAAAAGTTCCAACTCCTTATATTTAATAAATAAAATCCTTTTTTTTTTTAAAAGAATTTATTTTTGAAAAATTAAGTTGATGCTTCGTAGTGTTCAAAAATCAAGGTTATCCTAAATCCTGAAGATGTTCGGAGTCAACCAGGTAACCACCGGAAGAAATCACATCATTAGAAAATAAGTACTTGTAATTGGGTTCGGAGTCGATTCCTACGATTCCTAGCTTTCAAAAATCGGGAACATAGCTGCCCAGCACTACTTAAAACATGGAAAAAATAGTATTGATTTAATTAGATAATAGGGTCAGGTTGTCTTTTTCACAAATCATGAACTACAAAACAAGATATCTTCACCATTCACATTAACATTTTCTGAATAGGATTTCATTGCATTTACAATATCTGAAGACAACCTTTGGAGTAGACAGAATTGAAAGTAGGTTTGAGAGAACTGATTTCAGATATGTATGGAGTATTCTCTATTTTTGTTTTATACTTAATGATTTGAAACAACAAAAAAAAAAAGAAAATTCAGAATATTTTGGGTGTTTTTGTGTTTCAGACGAATCGTGAGTATGGACTACCTGTGTTTGATCTGGAGAAAGCGGTGAACAGAGGAACAAAGGAGGAGACGACGAACGCAGTGAGTGCGCTCATGTCAAGGGCTTTTCTTTTTCTTCTTCTTTTTTTAAACTGCCGTAATTTGTTTGTAAATGAAGCAACTTATGATGGGTGCTTCGTCAGCTCAGTTCCTATCATGCTGGATGATGGAGTGATGGTCCTGGTTCAAATCCCAGACTGGGCATTCTTGAACTTGAGTTGTTTTGTTGGAGTTTTAGAAGGCTCTCAATCCATTTGGCTCAGCCCTATCAGAAATAGACGTTAAATTTGGAGGTCCTGCCTCTTGTAACCTAATAGTGTTGATAGGAGAATTGGTCGCTTTTAAGGACAAGCAGGCTAACCTGGATTTCTGGGGTTTCCAGAAATCAAGTTGACCTACACCAAAAGTGGGCATTGCCCTACCTTTTAAGAGAAGTTTGGTTTCATTGGTGTGTATATTTGTTTGGTTATAGAGAAAGCTCTCCTTGTTTTTTGAAGGAACTGAACTAAGGGGCAAAAACTTTACCTTCAATTTTCTCAGAACAGCATTTTTCGGGATAGCCCCCTTGTGCTTAAAAGCAACCATTTTAACCAAAACTCTTACTTACATTATATTGCGTACCAGTTATACTGTCATTTACATTTTCTTCTTTTTTTTTTTTCTTCC